CGTCGAAGCGTGGAAAAATAACTTACAGAAGGGTCGCGTAGCTGTTTTTGTAGCTTTTTTAGTTTAGTTGAAAGGAAGTTCGGGATTGGTGATTTCTTATAGGGGAGTCTTTCGTCTATCAAGGTATCTCGAATGTTAAATAGGACAGAGTATAATAGGTTAACTGCTTCCATAGGGGATGTTGTAAGAAGATATGGGCTACAGTCCAATGATCTAATATAGTTGTTCATGGAGTCCTCATCAAGTTTTTTTGGGTTTAGGCGGGTGTTACTAAAATGGGGTGCTAGTTTTGCGTTTAAGGGGAGTGTTGATATTATTGCTTTGTGGTCACTTTCAAAGGTTGCGCAGTCTTAGTGCATATAGAGGGGCCAGATATCGTTGGTGAAAATAACGTCTAGTATATTGTTTCCTCGAGTGGGTTTGTCAACTATTTGTGTCCAGTTATTAAAGATAATTGAAGACAAGAATTCTTCGTGCCTGGTAGGTGCTGATAATTCGACCCAGTTTATTTCTGGGCGGTTTAGGTCGCCTGCAATTATCTTATATTCAGTTTTTATGTTGGCTATATTGCTTATTAAGAGGTTGAGGCTTGTGTCATCACTACTACATTCTGGAGAGGAGTAGAGGCATCCGACTAGTATGTTTTCCTGGGCATGAGATTTAATTGTGGCAAAACATGCTTCTCTAGCAAAGGTTTCGGTTGGGACATCAATACCACTTTGCTCAATGCTAGTCTTGATGTAGATAAGACAACCTCCGCCTCGTTTATTAACACGGTCCTGTCGATAGAAATTATAATTTGGGACATATAGTGAAGCATTCGATATAAGCTCATTTGCCCATGTTTCTGTAATGCAAATTACATCGGGGTTATATATTTCAACAAAAGCTCTAAGTTGGGATATTTTGTTGACAATCGATCTGGAATTAATAACATCTATCTTTAGGATGTTGGATATGGAAGAGGTGGGCTGTGGTGAAAAAAAGGATTTATGGAGGAACTTTGAGTGAGTGATGGAGTAAATGGAGGTAGGTGTGTGATTCTTGGATGATATGGTGATGCGTATGGTGTAGTGTGAGTGCATGGGCTAGTGTGTATGGACTGAGGGTACATATGGGGAGGTGGGTTAACTAGGTGGTAATTGTACCTAAATGGAGTTTCAGTTGGGGAGGTGTAAAAGCCAAAGTAATTTGTAGGGTTGTAATTAGGTGGTAAGGGGTTTGAAATGCTAGAGTGGTTTGGCTTATTCCTATGCCATGCAGGTAGATTTTGGGGAGTCGAGATGCCGTTATAGAAGCTTGTTTGTTTTTTGTTAGAGTTTGGTGGGCTTCTATTTGTTCTGTCAACATACCTAGGGCGTTTTGGTTGTGTTGGTGTGCTTAACAAGGCCTTTTGGTTTATGTGTCTTGTTTGGCAGTCGTTTTCTAGTACTGATTGATCGGTCTTGGGGGATGTAGTAAAACTTATACTGCTATCTAAGGGTGTCACATGACTCGGTCCGGGGTCTGCATCATCGTTCTGTTCTGGTTGAACGTTGTTAATTTGTTGTGCCTCCCTCGTCTGTTTCTGACCAGCAGTCCTAGATACTTTTGCTTTTGCGCGTTTTTTATCATGAGAACTAGAGTCAGACGTGCTTGCTGGAGGTCCTTCTGCGGGGGCTGTGGGTTTATCATTTGGTTTACGCTGGTCTGTGTATTTCTTTTTATAAGTGCTAGAAGTAGAAGTAGTGGCTAAAGGTTCAGTTGTGGGACCGGAGTGCTGATTATCGTATTTGTAGCTGGTGTCTTTTTCCCGAAGTTTACGTCTTTGCATAGGTGTCAAATCTGGACCTATAAACGAGTTTAGGTTCCGCAGATTTCTGTTTACTTCGGGATTTTGTAGGACAATCTCAGCTTCCGCCTGTGAGTAGAAGGTTACTAAGACGGGTTTGTTTTTGCTTCTAGAGTGAAGTCTTTTAGTGTTAGCTAATCTGATATTTAAGCCACACGAATGTATAAAATTTTGAATTGATGGCGTCGGATTAACTGTGTGGGGTATATTACGGATAATTAAATTGAGCCTGTGTTTCGATCTATCCGCGGCTTCAGACGAAACTAAATGTATAATCGATTCAACTTGTGGTAGGCTCGTTAGGCTGTTCGTGAATCTATTTGAGTCTCTTAGTGAATCGAGAGTTGTAAAGATATGTTCATGTTTCTCGATGAACTTCTGTAAGCGGACGATGGCCGAAATATCTACTTTGTCGACAGCAAACGTAACATCAGTCATGGTTAAATGGAGAGAGTGGAAAGGATTTATGTGTTATTTTCGACAACTAATAAAAATCGACGCAAAATCGACGCAGAAATATGTCAAATATTTCAGTTATAAATGAATTTCAACTTATCTCGAGTCTAAGGATTTTGAACGGTTGTGCACAAACGGGCTCGGAATTTGGCTCTGGCTTTTAGACTGTATGCAATCTCAACATCTCCCTTCATCCCAATTCGTTCAGTAACTCCTTTGGCATGGATTGGCCTGATCGACAGTGCTGAGCGGTGCACGCACTTTGTCCGGCGTCTTAGTTGTCGATGTAGTTGCCAGTGAGCGAAACTGCGACTTCATTTGTGCGGCATGAAATGGGCGTAGGAACAAGTGCGTGAGACGTTGTTCGCAGTTTTCGATCCATAAAAGCTTCCGCAGGAGAAAGGCCTCCAGGCGACGCCGGGTTCGGCGTTGTCCTGTAGGAAAACAGGGACGCCTGGACCATCTCGTCCGTGGTCCCCTCACCCTCTCCCATGATCTTTCAAGAGGGCTCTCTTAAACGTGTCGGCAAAAGGCTCCGCCTAGCAGTTAGCCTGGAAGTGGTAGTGCGGGCAACGAAGATGCTGTGTTGGCCGCGAAAATCCTAAAATGTCGATGATGCAACCTGGGAACCACTATATGAAATAAGGACTGCCAGTAGGCCGTGCGAGCCAAAGATGCGTTGTAGGATGGTGGTAGGGGCAGATGCGTTCGCTGGATTCAGCAGAGCAATCTCTGGCCGCTTTGAGTATAAGGCAACCAAGATTAGGTAAGAGAAGCCGTTAAGTGAGCCAGTTAAATCGATATGCACGCGTGGCCAAGGCCTCTCCGGCAGTTGCCAGGTCATTATCGACTGACGAAGCGGAAAATTGGTAGTTTTTTGGCTTTGGAAAAAGTAACGAATCAGATTGTGGATTTCGCTGTCGGCAGCCTGCCAGTACGCAAAACCGTGGGGGCAACTGACTTTTTGGGGCTTGTGTCAGGATGTGTCGCATGAAATTGGCGTAATAGCGAAGGTCGAAGGGAAGATGGATTCCCCACACGGCCCGCATAATGAAACGGGTATCAACCTCTGAGAGCGATGCTCGGCGCAGGAGCAGTTGGTAAAGATTTCCAGCGATAGCAATGCTTGAAGAGCAGGTCTGCCCTCAGATGATGGCCTGGCGGAACACAGGATCCTGTTCAGCAGTACTTCGGTTGTCCGCGGCAGTGATTTCAGATGAGACGAGAAAGGGCGCACGCCTGACCAAAGTCGGCAGTGAAGCAGTATCGAATGTCGAAATGGTAACCAAGAAGAATGGTTTCACATGGCTAAAGTCGGATGTTTGCATAGACAGGAATGCCCTTCTTCGTACCGAGAACTGACAGCAACGGTTTGTGATCTGTCAACAGCATGAAGGGACGACTCTTCAACAGCTTCTCAAACTCTATTGACGGCAAACACAAGGATAAGTGCTTCCTCTTCAGTTTGCCTCCAGTTCTTCTCCGAATGCGTTTGTGTGCAATATGCATGCACGATCAAATTTCAGACCCGTCGGGAAAAGTATGTAAGATGACGGCACCAACTCTGCGGTTGGAAACATCTGCAGCAACAACGGTCGGAAGCGTCGTGTACTAGTGCATGAGCAGCAGATCTGTACTCAGCATCGACTTTAGCTGGACGAAGGCGATTTCTCGGTCGGAAGACCAGCACCATGGAGCATCCTTTTGAGGCAGACTGTTGAGAGGGGGCTGGAAAGTCACACAGTGATGCCAGGAAGCCGCTTTATTAGCTGAACCAGGCGAAGGCATGAATTAGGTTGTTACAAATTCTTGGGTGCAGGTATCTGTTGTGCATCAGTAATATTTTCAGGATCTGGATTGCGACCAGTGACATAAAAGAAGAATTCGAGGTACTTAATGGAACCGAGGAAGAAATGGCACTTGTTGGCCGACTATTGCACGCGCACTTGGTCTTGCAGCTCAGCAGGGGAACGATCCACGATGACGAGGATGTTGTCTACGTGCCCAGCTGTGCCGGGATGCCGGAGAGCATTGCGATCATGGTTTTTTGGAATAGAGTTGGGGCAGCCTTGACACCAAAGCGCAGTCTGGTGTATTGCAACAGACCGCGGTGGGTGTTGATGGTCAATAATGGGTACGAATTTGGGACGACCTCGATCTGCAAATACGCATCCACGAGATCCAATTGGGCAAAGTAAGTACGAACATTCGGCAGGCTGAAAAGATCAGGCGGAAACGGCGGTGGATGGCAGTTTGGCAACAACGCGACATTAGGATCGATCGAGTAGTCATCGCGAATGCGGATCGAACCATTAGGCTTCTTAACCACAACAATTTTAATGGCGCAGGCGGAATAATATACAGGAAGTAGAACCCCCACTTTCACCAAATGCTTCAGTGCAGCCTCGAGAGATGGTAAGGCTGCATATGGGACAAGTTTATTTGGATGAAAGACTGGTCTGTTTTCAGGTGTCAGATGCAGCACGCCTGGAATGTATGTGCAACGAAACAGGCCGTCCCAAAACACTGGAACAAACTGTTAAAGAATGTCCTTTCCACTAAGGGAATCCGCAACTGATTGCAAACAACGCGAAGTGGCATATTGACCAAACCAAGTTTTCCTATCCAATCGAGTCAAAGTAGGTTGGGGTCAGACTTGGCGACGTAGCAGATCGCAGTGATGCTGGTGCCGCGGAACGAGACAGAGCATTAG